AAACTCCATCTCAAAAAAAAAAAAAAAAAAAAAAAAAAGACGAAGAAAATAGTTTCCTCAGTTTCATGCTTGTTTCTCAGTGCTCCTAGTTTTACTCAAAGTTTTGGAACCTTCCTTAGATCTAGTCATTTTTAAAAAGCCAGATCCTTTGATTATTTCCAGTAAAATGAGTTTTTGGGTAGTCGAGTGCTGTGGGGAGGAATAACGTTGCTGGGCTGTAAGGAGGATAATGGGCTAGGGAATAATTTTCCTCTCATAAGATAGAGACTATGAATAAACAGTTTATATATGTAAAGTTTTTACTTTCCATTTTTCTCTTTTATTATTGTGATTTATATGTATATTATTAAAAGTTTAGAATAGAAATATATAACAACAAAAATCACTGAAGATGCTGATATTAATATATTGGGAAATTTATTTTAATCTTGTTTATGTATTTTTTTTAAGCTTTGTGGATTTTAAAAGAGTTACTCATCTATCCACATCACAATTGATTTTCTGCAGTACTAATTATGGTCTCTACTGCTTCAAAGGAATACTTTAATTCTGGTATGGCATTTTGTGTTTCCTTGTATTTTTTTCTTATTCCAGTGGCTTCATGTTCTTTTCTGTTTTCATTTTAGCCTATTAGTTCTTGAAGTTTTTTCATCTTACTTCATAGAGACTGTGTTTTCATACACCTCTGTTTAGGGCACCAAACAAATGTTACTGAAAAGTTTCTATTGTATTGTAGAATGTCTTCAGAGATACTGTATTGACTTTGTCCTGCGTTATGCTTAGACAGGGAGTGGTCTTTCCAGCCTAATATAAATAGGGTGTACAGAATGGTCCTAGCACTGTCCACTTGTATTCTGAGAACTCCTTCTCTGAAGCAAACATTGAAGGCTGGTTATGTGCCCAGCCTCCGTTCAGTTTCTAGGGTTTAGCATTCCTTCCCTAGATCACTCCATAAATACTTAACTTCCTACTATGTGCCAGATACTGTTATAGGTGCTGGCAATATGGCAGTGAACAAACTCAGCTTATGTAAAATAAGTAAACCTGTAATTATATAACATGGACTATAATATGAAGCTTCTGGTAAGGGACATAGGAGGGAAGCTAGGGAGGCGATTATTATATATAGGATGTTAGGGCAAGATCTACAGAACAAAATGTAACATTAGAACTAATAGAATTGAGGGAATGAGTTCTGTGGTTATCTAGAGGAAGAGAATTCCAGTAAAGAAATCAAAGAAAGCTTTTTAAGCCATTCTAAGGCTTTGGCTTTTATTCAGAGTGAGATGAGATAATGTTTTAGGGTTCTGAACAGAGTGATGTCCCAGATGCCGAGTGGTTTAAGAAAGAGGGAGTGATCAGGTGTGCCAGGTACTGTTGACAGGGTGAGGGAGAGGAGGGCTGAGAACTCACTGTTGGATGTAGCAATGGGGAGGTCACTGGTGACTTTGACAAGAACTATTTTGATGAAGTAATGAGGATGAAAGCTGTTTGGAATGGATTCCAAAAGGAATGGGAGTAGCTGGAATGAGGCAGAGTAGAGACTACACGTTAGAGGAGTTTTACTCTAAAAAGGAAGAGATATAGGGTGGTAGCTGGAGGAGGATGTGGAGCCAGGAGAGTTTTAAAACATCTTTTATGTGGAAGAAATTATGACAGCACATTTGTATGCTGGGAATGATCCAGTAGAGAATAACAACTTGGTGGTACAAGAGCAAGTGGACAATTGTTGGAACAATGTTTTTAAGTAGATGAGAAGAATGGGCTCCAGTGCACAAGGGGCAGGATGGGTC